CTGCCTGAAAGGTTGATGTGTGCGGCCTGCTGGGGACAGCAGCACCTCCACTCTGCTTTTTAAAGGGTGTTAGTTCAGAGGAGACACTGGCACCCTGTCCCTTCCTGTGATGCTGCTCGTGACCTGTAGCACTGCCACTGCAAATTCCAAGAGATGGTGGCAGAAGGGCACTGAATGCCACCCCTGGTTTTGTACATATCCTTACTGTCATTGCTGCAGGGTAACTATTTTGTATAATGAGGTGTAACTTAGGGTTTCCTTCTGTTAATGTTTTCAAAGTCTTTCATAAGGAATCTGATCCAAGGCTCATTCAATAAATTTACAAGGCTTTGGATCCCCTCCGAGGTGACAATTTACTCCCAAGTATACATTACTGTTTAGAACAAGGCTGCTTCCTTTCAATCTGTGTTCTTTGAGAATTTAAATTTGATGGAAAACTAGAATGCTGCAACTGCATCATGAATATAAACAGCACTGATGGTGTAAACACAAGATTGCAGCTTTACTTCTAAACAAAGAATTGGAAGTTGAAAAAATTATCTCACTTAACCATTGCTGTAACAGGGACAAATCAAAGAGCTGAACAACACCATAATTCCCAATTTGTTTGTACCAGTTTCAAAACATCTGTTGCTTTTCGGCTCTTCTTTGAAATGGTCTTAGATAAAACTGTCATCAGTGGAACTGTTTCTACATTTAATTCCTACGTAAAAGTGTGATTGAAAAACTTCAAGTCCTTCACTGGTGAACAGGGAGTAGAGCTTTCAATTTTTTCTAACTTAAAACTAAAAATTTGGAAATGTAGTATCACATTGAAGATGACTTTATTTTGTATTCATAAAACAGGATCAAGGGATCTGACACATTCTACCTCAATCACTGCTAAGGCTGAGGCACAGGTTTACCAGACTGTTTTCCCACTTCCACCCAGGAAGACTATTCTCCTCAGTGTTCTGGTGAACTGGGTATCTGCTTGAAGCTGTAAATCCAGTCAAACACACACATTTTTTTTCTTCTACCTGATGTAGGAAATCACATAATTACAGAAAAAAAGACTGAGAAAATGTACTCAGCTTCAAACAAACTTGACTTCTTTCCAGGCTATATATTTTGCTTTAAAGACCATTTCTAATCAGTTGTGCTTCCTGTCTTTTCATCTGGGTTTGCAAGAATCATTATTTCCCCTCTGCTTGGTCGAGATGTCCATTACCAGCTCTTGCACAGTTTGTTTACATTCAGCCCTCTGGATCTACACAGCACTTCCATGTTACAGAACACACAGCAAAGGTCAGGAAGCCCAAAGAGCAAAGAACTTGATCTCAAAAAAAAATTCAGCAACACAAAGATCTCAAGGGTGTGCTTGAGTCTGTCTTGCCTTCAAAGGTACAGAAGTGGAAAGGAGCAGCAATATTGTAGAAATCAGGAGTGCTGGGGAGGATGCCAAGGAGGCAAGAAAAGCAGCAAACTGTGTGAATGGCACTGAAAGGAAAAGGAACTAGGAGAAAACGGGGACAGACAACAGAGCATGAGATAGAGAAAAAACAAAGTTGTCCTGGAACGAGGATGGAAGCAAGCTAAGTAGTTTTAAATATTTTTTTTGGATGAGCAACTGTGTTTTTGGCAGAACAAACCAAAACACCACATACACTTGGACACAGTGTTAGATGGTTACTGAGAAAACTTACTTACACATCATTAATTGTAAAATAAAAAACAGTTTAAGTGCAGTGAGTAACTTTTATCAACAGTAATGCAATCTCTAATAAGAAAGAAATTTGAACACTGAAATCTTAAAATGATTTTTACCCTAAATGACAGAAGTTTCCTGATAGGATGCAATGAACCCAGTTCCCAGTTATCCCATGATACAGTTTGGCAAACGTAATGCTCAACTTCACACAGTCATATGCAATATCTACAAAAAAACAGAACTTAGGGGTTAAGGGATAAACACATCTATTGCAGCCTTTAAGACTGGCTTGAAAACAAACTGCTTTTTCTAGGGAGAATGGGAAAACAACAAACCAACCAAAAAACCAATAAAACCTTAAGCATTACTAATTTCTGAAGAAGTGTAGTAAGTGTCCTCTAAGTACAGGGTTATTTCAAAACCTTGGATCACTCTTAGTAAATGTCAGTATTCACTTAAGCACTGGCAGCTTGATTTTCAAAAGGAAGGAAACATATCTTCACCATCCAAGTTGCCTTCCAATGCAGCAGAACAGGGAATGAATGCTTTGACCTGAGATGAAACAGAGTTCTAATACATTTTATTATTTACCTGTGACTTTAAACCAGTTACTTAATTTCCATACTTTAATCTCCTCAGCCATAAAAAGTGATGGAAAAACGAACTCTTGACATAAGGGAGCTGCTACAGAACTGCAATTTGGGCATTACCCAGTTTGGAGGAAAACTTTCTTTACTCAGCACACGTAATAAGGTATAACAGTATTTGGTAACATCCTGCTTTTGTCTTTGCATACAAATGGTATTCAAATCCTCATTTCTCCTCCTTCTTTCTGTATGTGTGAAAATCTCTCAGCCTCCTTGCTCCTCTACGAAAAAAGTATCTAGCTTGTGCTTTGCTGTCTCACAAACTGCTACAAATCCCCTTTTCACTATTTCCTCAATATACCAAAAAGACAGTATTTTAAACCAATCCCGTCACTGAAACCTTCCCATGACTAGTAGAAATACCTTCTCCAGGTTCTAAAATGTTCATTCCTCAAATGCCAAGACCTCACACCCTGGTGATCAAGGTTCCACAACTCCACAAGCTGAGTTTATACCGGTTCTTACCCTCTGAGCCATCCTTTGCAGTCTTTCACTCCTTTCCTCCCCAAGTGATTCTCAGTTCATGTCTTTCCCCCTCCCCCATTACATTAATCTACAGTCACCCATCTAGGAGTATCAAACAATGTCAATCACCTCTTTCAAACCCCATCCTAAACCTCCCAGTCTCTGGCCTGCCTCTTGCAACTTCAGACTAAGTGTATCTGTATCTGCTACCCTATGGATTCAGTAGCTCTTCTTGAAGACATGAAATATGAAATAAAAAATAAATTTCACCTTCTGCTTTCAGCAAGCTCTTGTCAACACTAAACCTTCTCCTGATTTTCAGTCATCTCGTCTTTCACAATGGGGAACAGCCTTTTGCAAATTAACATCCATTATCAAAATCTGTATTTTAATTAACAGGACAGCATCATTTAGCAGGGCCAGGAATTTGCATTCATAAATACACAAACATTTTACATACTGCTTTAAATATGCAACTTTTCATTTTAAAACTTTCTGTGAAAACAGTTTTATATTCAGTAAAGCACCGCTCCCAAATAAGGTATTATACAAACAGTACTAAAATACAGATATTTCTCTAATATAACTCTAAAGATAGTTGAAAAACAGCCATTTTTTACTGCAGATGAACAGTGAACACTTTTCAAACAGAAGTGAACAGTGCTCAACACTTCATAAAACTGATCTCTCAGTCTACGTTAAAGTAATACAACACTGTGATAATGAACTAAGGTTTGTGATTTTTGTTGCAGAAATTTACTACCTGGCAGAACAATGGCACTCTGAAAACCCAAATGTTTTAGGACTGCCTCATCCTCTAGAAAAATGAAAATCTTATTATGGCAATGTACTGATAATTGGAGAAAATATTGCTGATGCATTACTGAGCTCACTGAGAACAAACTTTTTTTGTACAATAAAAAGCAAAGGACGCGAGCTTCAGTATAATCCCCTCAAATAAAACACTCTTGTGAAGATCAGCAACAGATTACCTGTGTCACTCACCAGATATTAAAGTGCTTTTCCAAAGCTACAATTTGAGAGACACACACTGACTTCCATTCTCAGGATCTGAAAAGTTCATTTACTACACTGATAACAGAAGATCCCCAGTGTTTCCATGCCTGGCATTTATGGCACACAGGAATTCCCCAGTTTTGATGCACCAGAAGTGAATGATGTTGACTGCAGTAAGCAAAGCATAAAACTATACAGGTGGTGCAGCTGCCAATCTTACAGTGCTCACGTGAAGAGGAGACTGCTGTTATCTACTAATAAATGTGGAAGAGCATTTATATTACTTATTCTCCAAGTGTAATTCAGTCCTTCTAAATGAAATCCAGCTGTTTCATGTATTAAACTTCTGACAGTGGTGTGAGATAGGAAAACAGTAAAATGAAAGCAACTTTTCAACATGACTAAAAAGAAACATGCAGAAATAAGGCATTCCAGCACATTTTAATTCTTGATATATGATAAGAGGGAATTGAGAAAAAAAATCTTAGGTTGAATATTTCTCTCAATTAAAAAACTGAAATATAGTCTTTAACCCTATAAAATAAGCTTTATTTAATCTTTATAAAAATCTCTGCAGCTCCAATTGTGAATGAAGACTGAGAAGTTTTCACTTCCTTGCATGTGTTCTCAAGTTAGGTTCTCATTCACTGCATTTTCCACATAAATTTTGAGTTAGCATTTGTTTTGAAACTCTTCTGCAGTGACCATTCTCAGTGCACAAGGCTGCTTAACCCAACCTGCACAATATCTTGGCTAAACAAAGAAATTAGAATGTCCCCCACACAGACAATCCAATACTGAGATTTGTCTTTCCAGACAAAGGCTGAGTAACAGAAATGTTTCCAAGGAGCATTTCAAAATACCACGCAATAATATTTTTCCCAGAAGCAACTCTCTCTATGAAACTAATTCAGTGGGTAATCATACAGACAACATCCAGCCAAAGATGCACTACACAAAAGCAATACTTCAGCATACAGACATTTGAATCTTTGTTTCACCATCATATTTCATGACCTATTGGAAATGACCATCAACTCACTCACTGAGGTGATCAGCCAGTAACTAAAATGCAACAGCTGAACACGATGTCAGAGCTGGCACAACACTGGATCTGATCCGAAATCATTAAAATATTTCCATTTTTCCCAAACATCTCAATTACACCTCTGGAATGTTACCTTTTCGTGAATTTCTTGTGTGGACTGAGCATCACAAAATGCCACTGTGGCTACATCCTTCAGAATAGGCATTTCTACTGTACAATCCCTGCCATCCAGCAACGCTACCAAGGGGCGCGGGTGCATGGGCCCGTTCATGATCGGAGGTCGAATGCCTGCAAGGAAACACAGAACACTTGTTATTCAAGCCATGCAAATGCAATTAAAAATTAGGTTATAGCTACTCTGTTTATTCTGATGGCAGAAAAAGATTTCAAGGACTGAAGCTAATAAAACAGGAACGAGTTTACACTCAGCAGTCAACCAAACACGGAAGACGTAAGGAAAAAAATTCCATGGAGGTTCAGGAGGCTGAACAACGAAAGATGGATAAAACCACTAAGGGAATAGTATATTTGTTTTTTAAAGATACATCCTTACTGCACTATTAAGAAGTGTCTGTGCTATCTTATCCATGTTTTGATTGGATTCCACACCTTTGTGAGCTCTAGACAGAGTGAGAAATATCTTGTCCAGGCTTGCAAGAGTGTAGCTTATGGAATATCATGAGCAACTCAGTGAGGATTTGAGAGTTCAATTTACATATATAATGATGATTCTGCTGAGACTAAAATGTAACTGAAAAAAGCCTACAACAGCAAAATGTTGCATTTACTGAGGATCCAGTGTCCAAGTTTACAGGCTAATTACTGATCTATGTAGGTCTGCTTAGACTTAAAAAATTTTACAGAATAGTTCTATATAGCTTAGTCAAACACATCATACTTAATCCACTATTGAAAACTCTTATAAAACATGAACAAAAGGTCTCTCCCTAAACCAACATCATGCTTGGAACACTGTGGAGTGACAAAGAAATTCACATTAAGTATCTGGGGGCAGAAAAATCAGTCCGAACTGCAGACTTCATTTACATCCTCTTTACAGAGTTTTGAAATGAAAAGTAATCCTTAAGATAGTTAGAGAGCATCTTTTTAACAGTGTAGATGGGATAAACACACAACAGTACTCAGCAGAATAATATTAAACCGGGAATAATATTAAACCATTACATTTACACAAAAGTAGTTAAGCGTGGGTGGAAAAAAAAAAAAAAAGACTTCCTGAAGAGATAAGGAAAAACAAGACCAAAAGTACATGGTTTTTTTTTTCCTCTTTTAAAATAAGAAGTTTTAAACACTGCAAAGTGAAGCGGGCTAGATCTTTCTTATATGCAAATACCACCATATTTTTGTCGCAATGTGAATTTTAAAACATTGCATATTTCCTTGATAATCCAAGTCAGTCCAACACCAATGCAAATGACGGAAGTCCCCCGGTTAACTTCTACAAGCAGTCCCTGCATCTTAAGTCCCAGACTGGGTCAGAAAGCAAGCCCTGAAAGACTGGTATATGCATTTTAAGCAGATGGAAAATTATTAGAATCCCAGCTGTACAAGGCATCTCATGAAGAAAAACAGCTGCTGAGAAGAGATTTTCACAAGTCAACAGAAGCAGCCTATTACTCCCCCACTGGGACCAGGCTCAGGTCTGGGCTGAAGGAGACTCCTGCCCTCACAGTCCAGCCTCAACCCATAAACTCCATGTCCAGCCCTAACCAAGTTGGGATGATAGTCCAGCCCTACTACAATCTGGTATTTAAGTTCCTCAGGCATAAAAACTTTGTAAAGAAGACAAAATAAGAGTCACTACATTTGGCTCTTTCCTGTTCTAGTCACAGTGTCTCCCAACATCTGCTGATGCCGATGGACTGACCCTGCAGTGCTCTCACCATAGCACAGAGGCACTGAGATGTGAAAAGTACTCACCAGCAAAGTTTTCCATGAGTACAACACCCATGAAAACTATGCTCTGTTGTAAAAACACCCACTCCTAACCTCTACCGTGATAGACATGCTTAGAAATGCTTCTGGTACATGTATCCTTTCAGTAACATCCAGCCACCAAAATTAGATGGGAGCCTTTCAAATATAACATGAAAACTGCACATCCTTTTAACTTACTATCGATACCTGTTTGAACCAGAAATGGCCACATAAGCCTCATACAGTCATTTTTAGTATACAAACTAATACACATTAGTAATGCAGTACACATCAGGAACACAATATGAATATACAACAAAGCTACGTAGTTACCCAGAGAACAATTACTATCCTTTAATGGGAACTTAATTATAAAAATCCGCATTGAATTTACTTTAAAAAAACCCTAAGATAAAGCATGTTATAGATTTGCTCATGTTTCTTTCAAAGCAGTATATGTAATAGCATTACCTAAAATGCAATTAAGTGTTGAAACAAATGTAAAAATGACACTGCAAGTCCCATTCATTTTGCTTAAAGTAACTGTGCTCACTTAAGAGCTGAAATGTTATGGTCATTGTCTTGTCAGTACAGTAAAGTAAGAACTTCAATGACGAGTCTGAATGCTAGTTAAAATAAAAAAAATTCAGAACTTTTGATACTGAAGTCGTTGCAGATGAATGAGGAAAAATATGGCACAGAGCTACAAAAATATGGCATAGAGTTACAACTAAAGCACGTTCAGTCCAAACAGAAAAAAGATGAGATTAAAAACTCTCACTTCTAAGAAACACTTTTCTTACTAGAGCTATCTCAGAAATAAATACAACAGCACAAAAACCAGCTCTTTCAGACAATGATTTCTCTAAAACACACAAAGGTGTGGTCTGGTTTTCCCCTCACACCAGCGTATCTGAAGATTTCAGCCAAGTTACCTGTGTAACATCAGTGCTAAGGGGAATGCCAGACCGAGCCCTAAAGCACAGAAACAGAAGTCAAAATACAACTAGAAGGACAAACCCTCCCTGAGAGACTTTTTTTTAAGAGTCCCCAGAATTCAAATACACCCAGTGACCTTGACCACAATAACCCTACAAACCTTTGCTTGCCAAAATCCTTTCTGAACTTCAGCAGAGACTTCCTGTTGCACAATCCTTCTGCCTAAATATCCTGTCCCTGAATCGCAGGCAATAACACTTAAGTAAACTCACAGGAACTTCATCACAGGGGCAGCCACTATTTAAGGTTCACATTCGGAGAGACGCAGCTTCACTGTGAATAAGAACCTTCTGAACAAACCCCTTCCTCTTCCGCCACTTAGGTATGTTCTGCCCATCTCTTATCTAGAAATGTCATCCTGCACCATGCCTTTGGCTTTGTAGCAGACCCTCGGAGAGGCAGGAGGAAGCAATGTGTATTTAAGAGCAGTATTTTCCATGCCTGCATTTACAGTAAATCATGCAACTCTGTGCCAGAGAGAAATAACTGTAAAGCGGTCAAAAGTGACATTCAACACCACAAATGTGAAACTAATTTAAACAAATAATTTCACTTAGCAGGCTTATTTAAGGATATGGCATTGCATTTCACATTACACAGATAACAAAAATTATACCATCCACCCCCACATCCTATAATCTTTCATTATGGGAAAACAATCTCAATTTATCCTAACTCAAGACTTTCAGGAACCCCTACCAACCTGACATTTCTTAATCTGAGCTTGATTTCCAGGGTCATGAATTCGATTTCTCAATGCTTTACAATCTTCAGTATTCTGAGGCAAAATAGCAGCCTGTCATTCCATCCTCATTTCCATGTCTTTAATTTTTCTTGCAGCCTCCTGTAATCTTGAACCAAAGCTTTTAAACTTCTTATCCACTGCAACCTCTGTAGCCTGGATGGCGTTCAAATTTTTACTAAAAATTAAACACAAACAATACATTAAAACAACATTAAGGGTCTGACTCGTGCTCACAGAAGGCAGGAAACTCCAAGTTTAAAGCTTCTCACTGCATCTGTACCCTTCCCCCTTTGGCTGCTGGCTTTCCACCACACCTGCTGTGCTGCCACAGGCCATTAACATACCAGGGAAAGCAGCAGAGTGTTAAGGCACACAGGGCACCTTGCTCAGGACAGCAGGTGTATCGTACATACACGTACCTGAACAGTCGGCACCGCTCCTGCGGCCAAGGCTTTGCCTGGGTGAGCAGGGATCCAGGGATAGTGTGTGATATCCAACATCCCCCCCACCTGTGCTGGAGGGCCAAGTGCTCCAGTGAGTACCAGAGATGGAGTGAGAAGCCTTAACTCTGATCTTGCTGGTTTTGCTGGGTCTAAGTCAGGCCCTTAAGGTTATCTAAATGTATTTATGCAAAAAACCTGAAGTTTTCCCGACAGTTCTAATCCAGCTATTACTCTGGGGTTTCTGCCCACTCCTCCCCGACAATATGGAAATAATCTGGTGGTGAAGCTCTTGCCCCAGTAACAGCTACTGTGCCAGTGAGTGCTGGAATTTTTCTAAATTAATACCAGGTATGAGGTGCACAGACAGACAGAGGAGCTCTCCGTATGCAGCAGTTATTCACCATGTGAATAACTAACAGCAGAGTACCCTTGCACAGCTGCAGTCTGGACCAGCTCTCTTGGAAAGAAAAACCTATCAAAACCTCAGTCTAGTCCAGCTTTTATGAAAAAAAAAACAAAACAACAAAATTTGGAGATTGAAAAAATCAGTTTTCAGCTGCAGAACCCGAGAGGAGGAGGTCAGCCCTATGCGCAAGCACTTCAAGTGACTGTGGGTCCCACAAACAAGAGGATTAATCAACTCACTGTCCAGGTTTGCAGCCAAAACAAGAGAGGAAGGGCTGTGAGCTATCCTACATCTATACCTCTGGCACCATGAGGACTTACAAACGATCAGACCGACCTCAGAACAACATGTAGTTTTTTAAGATAGAGAGAAAAGGAGCTACCTAAGCAGGGTAGTGTCCTCACCGCTCCCAAATCCAACCTGTACCTCCCATTGCTCCTGAAGCAAAGGTGAATTATTTGTGCTACACTCCAAGGGGGATGAGACGAAGCCAATGTCATTAGGCATACTCACAACTGGAGGGTAAGAAAGCTCTCTAGGCTCTAACAGCCTGACATACTCTAGGCTGTTAAAATGTATTTTAAAGCTTTTGTAAAACAATCTTTCATGTTGCGAACTGACAGTAACTGCAGTGATCACTGCACAAATAACTGAAGCTGCCACCGCTTCCTGACATTGGAAAACATACCAAAATGCAACAAGCAAAGCTATTAGGATAAATGATGATTAACAATGTCATTTTCACATTTTTCTGCTG